GACAACAAAAATCATTTCTCATTAATCATCTCCATCTATGGCTAGATTTGTACAAATTTATTAAATCATAAAAAAAAGAATTCCATTGATTTTCCTATAAACAGAACCAACATTCTTCTTAATCGTTTTGTTAAATCATTAGTGTGTTTTACTTAAATCCAATACATCCTTCCTTCTAAATAGATGGTCTTTATTGCTCAAAATCGTATCTTGTTTTCAACAATCACACTGACCCAAAAAAAGAATTGTTTCACTATGGCAATAACTAAGTGCAAATCTCGGATAAGATACATTCGAATATTTATTATTCAATCATCATCAAAGATTACATGTATAAGCTCTGAAGCTTGAGCTTTAATTCAAAACAAACATCGATTGTCACCGAACAATTAAATCAAACAAATAAAATAAAAATAAAAATAAATTTGACAAAAAAAACATGAAATGGGTTGAAATAGAATCGGTAGCTTACCACGATATCGTCTATAAATCTCATAAATATCAAATTGAATTGAATCGGACGAGTCCATGGCGGAATGGTATGGAAGCTGAACAGAACTAGGGATTCTTGAGCACAGAGATCCCTAGCTGATTCGCGGGTTGAAAAAAATGAAACCCTAGAAGAACTCAATAAAAGCTATATAGAGAGAGTGTCTGTCTGTTTGAGGGTGTGGGTGTGGGTGTGTGTATTACGTCAAACTTGTATCAATCAAGGGAAAATGTTTGGTGTAGAAGCATTTTGTGGTATTTTACATGTTCATGCACAGTTCAACTAACCACAACAAGAAAAACCATAAAACAAGATCTATTAGTGTATATTTTGGAGAAACTAGAGTTTAAGCTGCGATTTAAATAAATTTCAGGTTAGGAACGCGCACCATCTGAAATACACAGCCCTAAAGAACTGGGCCAGCTAGGGCAGTAGAAGTGCTGCAGTCACTCAACCCACAAACTCACCCTCTCACACAATATAATGGGGTGGACTCACATCACTCAATCTTTGACACCAAATTTTTAGCTCTAGCCACAACCAGGCTATCAGGTTGGTCCTTGAATCGATCAATAACAGCCTTCTCTCCCCCTTCCATTTCAACAATGTCTGACCACTTCGTCTGAAGCAGGATGAACGCTGAAGTGTAGGAGTGGATATTTCCTTTTGAGAAAGTTCAATGGGTACCAGATCCTCCCTTGAAACCCCCAACATATTTGCAAACAAATGGTGTTGAGCCTAGCCCGCAGGTCCTCAATAGCCTGAGACTGAGAAACAAATGGTGTTGAGCCTAGCCCGCAGGTCCTCAATAGCCTGAGACTGAGAAACTACCACATCCGAACCCTGATTTAAAACCCTACCTCTAGTTGAACCTCGCTCATCAGGACCAAGAGCATCCATCGCAACAATTTCTGATCGAAGGCCCTCCATAGAAGCAGCGAACGACCTCGAACTAGGGCTAAGACTCCCTTCACCCCCCCAACAATGTCTGACCACTTCGTCTGAAGCAGGATGAACGCTGAAGTGTAGGAGTGGATATTTCCTCTTGAGAAAGTTCAATGGGTACCAGATCCTCCCTTGAAACCCCCAACATATTTGCAAACAAATGGTGTTGAGCCTAGCCCGCAGGTCCTCAATAGCCTGAGACTGAGAAATTACCACATCCGAACCCTGATTTAAAACCCTACCTCTAGTTGAACCTCGCTCATCAGGACCAAGAGCATCCATCGCAACAATTTCTGATCGAAGGCCCTCCACAGAAGCAGCGAACGACCTCGAACTAGGGCTAAGACTCCCTTCACCCCCCATCGTCAATCAGTTAACACTAATCGAAGGAATTTCCTCGGAGGAAATTTTCGATTCCCCTTGCTCTAAGCTCAAACCCCGATTCAGTTTGCCCCAAACCAAATAACGCTAGTGATTTTGAATCCCTAACTACATCCTTAGCCCTAGACAAAACCCCTTTGGTAAGCTATGGAGACTCCATCGACATCAATGAGCTATTGAAACCATAGAATTTTAGGAATTCCAGAGAATGGAAGAGCTTCTCTCACTAACCCATGCCACTAATGGCAGCCTTTGTTCTTCTTTTATGATTAGAACCATTGGCTATAGATTGATCTTGAGAGTCAGGGCTTTTGATTTTTTTTATTTTTTGATCTTGGGAGCCAGGGCTTTCAGTTCCCAACTCCACGTTTCAAATTTCCCTCCCAAACTTTTGGCGACCAAAGATCATATTAGTCGCAAAAAAGGTACTTTCGCCGACAAAATTTTTTAGTCGCCAAATCTCAATCAACGGCGACCAAAATATTAGTCGCTAAATGTACTAATTTGGCGACTATTTGTTTTTGGTTGCTGAAAAAAAGTTTTTGGCGACCAAATTTTTGGTCGCCAAAAAATATGCGACCTTCCGCAACCAAATTTGGAGTTGGTCGGCAAAAGCATACCACTTTCTGCGACCAACTCATTTTTTGGTCGCCATAATATAACCTTCTACGACCAATAATATTTGGTCGCCAAAAATAATGATCATTCACGACTAATTAATATTTGGTCGGCAAATGTCATTTTTTTGCGACCAAAAATTTTTTTGGTCGGCAATAGTGGTCGGCAAATGTGTGAATTCTTGTAGTATGGAAACATGATTTCCGGCCGACTTGAAATTAATAAGACCAAATCACCCCTTTTTGTTCCCCCAAACGCTTCACTATCATTTTGTTTTTGTTTTTTAAATTTTGTTTTGTTTTATTCTTTATGTTGGACTTAGTTGACTAATACCCGATGAAAAGAGCCAGTCTGTGATTCACATGATTAGTCATGCTCATGATAAAAGAAAAACAAACTTGCTAAAGTTATCCAAGTTTCAAATATAATATTTATGTAATTCTTATTATATAAAGTATTATGATGATAGCAATACAATTATTCCAAAATAATATAGTTTAGAAATGCACGCGTAAATAAAATCAGAAGTATAACAATTATACTTAATGATGATTATGAAAAGATTTTAAAGTTTTATGGAGAGATTCATTATCATAAATTATGAAAGTTGCAAAAAAAAAAAAAATGCATTGAGTGAAAGTTGAAGATTTAATTTTTTTTTTTTTCCCTTCACAGAATTAAAGCTTAAGATGTTCATGTGATTCCCATGGACAAAAAATGCAAATATTTTCAAATTAAGGAATTTGAAATTGAATTTTATAAATTATAAGAAGATTAGTCATTGAAGAATGTGGAGGATTGAATATATATATTTTTAATTTATTTTGTTATGATTTTTGTTCAAATAGAAATTCATTATGCAAGTGTGAAAAAAGTAATATAACGTTACTCGATATATGGTATCACTAATCAATATAATTTTCATGTCACTATTCAAATATCAATTCTTGTTTCAAAACAATTTTATCTCAACTTTTATTTATTTATTTTATTTTTTATTGAATTGCCTTCTCATTGTTCTTGGGCTCCCTAATTTACCCAAAAAGCAGTATTAACGGTGATGGCTGACGATTAATAGGCAAACTCTCCTACTCGAACTGATGTTGGTGTGTTTGCATCGAGAAACACCACTCAATTCATTAGAAAGAAACTCTAGAGTTTACATGCATAACATTAGGAGCCAAACATGCATTGTTTGAAACTTGTACTATTACCACAAATTAAGATTTGTAAGACAAAAATTTAGAGACAAAATCATTTTTTAGGGACGAAACATTTGACACGGTTATATTTTAGTGACGAAATTAGACACTTAGATATGAATTACTATCCTTTTGAGAATAAAATTTTAATCTACAAAAGTAAATTTTTCTTGGCACGGAATTGTTTTTTCCCTAAAAGCATATCTAACCTCGGTTTGGCATTCATGTTGGGGCTAAATCATAAAAGGACAAAATTGACTACAAAGGTCAATAAGACAAAATATTACTTTTTACCCATAATCATTACACTTTTTCTCTTACAAAAGTCAAAAAAAAGTCCCAAAACAAAAACCAAACGAGGCTAAAAAAGCCAGGTTAAAAATGTTTCAACACAAAAATGTTGGTTATATTAGCCAATGCCAAATGAGCTCTTACTAGCAACATTTTTAAAATTTTCACTAAAGTTTATTTTATTTTTTTAAACTTTATAGCCTTTTAGCCACGATTCTTGTGACGACAATAATCAGTCTCCTAACGTTTCTTGCAACAATTTTATTTATTTTTTACTTTTAGAGACAAAAAATTTGATTCTTAAAATTCTTATGTGTTTAAAAGCTTAATACTTTGGCCAATTGTGTGGAAAGAATTTGAAGAATTATTAAAAAAATAGTGGGAAAACATTGATGTTTTGTTCAAAAAAAGTGGGAGATTTTGAAGATCTATCTGGAAAAATGGGCAACACTTTAAAGATGAAGTGAGCATGACTTTTTGCTTAGATTAATAAGCTTTACAGTTCTGTTGAAGTTCCATATTTCCAAAGTGTCTGCCCTGCCCCAACGTCTACACGAAGGAATTGCCAATGAAAAATTGCTTGTTAAATATGATAATCTTTCTTGCTATCAAACTAATGCACTTAAACTGTGAATGCATTTTGTTATAAAAAAGTCTCAAAACTATTGATGTTAATATGTTTAACCCGTTGTTTTATTGCACTCCTGCCATGAGGTTGAGCGTAGTACGATCATTTGTCTCGATTGTTGTTATCCTTTCGTGCATGTGCATGCCTCTGTTGCACAAAGCTTCTCAAATAGTAGCCACCACCGTACTAGGTGCAAACGAGACTGATCACTTAGCCTTGCTTTCCATCAAGGCTCAAATAACTCATGATCCAATGCTAGTCACAAGCTCATGGAATGATTCTCTCCATTTCTGCTAGTGGGAAGGTGTTTTATATGGCCATCGCCATCAGAGGGTCATTGCCTTGAGTTTAGAGTCCCGTAATTTAGTAGGCTCTATATCTCCTTCCATTGGAAACCTTAGTTTCCTTAGAACTACTAATCTTTCAAGGTGAAATTTCTCATGAAATGGGTCGGTTTTTCAGGCTGCAAGTTCTGGTATTAACCAGTAACTTGTTGGAAGGACGAATTCCAAGGAACCTTTCAAACTGCAATGACTTGAGTCTTCATTTAGGCAACAACAAGTTTATAGGAAATCTTCCCAAAGAGCTTGGTTCCTTATCCCAATTGGTGCTACTCTATATTGATTCCAACAATTTGACAGGGGCAATCCCGACTATTTATGCAAACCTTTCATCTCTTGAACGTTTCTTGGCTCATTTGAATGTGTTAGAGGGAAGTATTCCAAACTCTCTAGGCGGCGTGAAAAGCTTAACATATCTTTCATTCTTCTCCAATAAACTATCAGGTGTGATTCCTTCATCTATTTATAATATCGTGTCATTGATTGCTATGGAGACACCAAGTAATTTACTTGAAGGAAGTCTTCCTCAAAATTTAGGCCTCACTTTGCCAAATGTTGAAGTGATTAATATTTGGGGAAACCAATTTAGTGGATCGATTCCACTTTCAATATCAAATGCTTCAAAACTAAAATACTTTGACTTATCACTTAACAAATTTTCTTCTGGAGTGGCTATTAATTGTGGAAACCTAAAGAATCTCTCTTGGTTGAGTTTAGATAAGAGTGGTTTGGGAACTGGGCATGCCAATGGCCTTAATTTCTTAACTGCGTTAGCCAATTGTAGCAAATTTAGAGTTTTGCAATTACAAGAAAATAATTTTGGAGGTGTTTTACCAAATTCTTTAGCTAACTTCTCAATAAAACTCGAGCATTTATCAGTGGCAGCAAACCAGATATCTGGAAACGTTCTATCAGATATTGGAAATCTTGTGAGCCTAAATGCTCTAGCTATGGACAAGAATCAATTGATAGGAAGTATTCTAACCTCTATTGGTAAACTTGTTAAGCTTCAAGACTTGGGTTTTAGTGACAACAAATTGTCTGTGGAAATCCCTTCCTCTATTGGAAATTTAACACTATTGAACCAGCTTTGGTTAGAAGAAAATTATTTTTAGGGAAACATACCTTCAAGTCTTGGAAATTGCCAAGGTTTGATATTGCTTCATCTTTATGGTAATGGTCTGTTTGGTAGCATACACTGAGAAGTAATTGGTCTCTCATCTTTGTCAATATCTCTAGACTTGTCTCGAAACTGTCTAACTGGTCCTATCCCTGTCGAAATCGATAACTTGAAAAATCTTGTTGAACTAAATATTTCTCATAACAAGTTATCTAGTGGAATTCCTAGCAGCCTTGGTAGTTGCACTTCTTTGGAACGTCTTTATTTGGACAACAATTCATTTGGAGGAACCTTTCCACAATTGTTGAGTTCTCTGAAGGCCATCGAAGAATTAAGTCTCTCACATAATAACCTATCCGGTGAAATTCCCAAATTTTTAGAAACCTTTCCCTTTTTGAGGAATTTAAACCTTTTTTTCAATAATCTTGAGGGAGAGGTACCAGTAGGGGGAGTTTTCCTCAATGCAACTGCAATTTCAGTGTCGGGAAATAACAAGCTTTGTGGGGGTATACCTGTTGTACAGCTTTCGGCTTGTGCTTCTAAAAAACCAAGAAAGTTAATTATTCCCATAGTTTATGGGGTTTTAGGTATCATTTTGGCATCATCTATTCTAATCCTTTGTTTTCTTAGAAAAACGAGAGAGCAATCTTGTGTGCCATCTTCTTTGATAGATTCTTATTTGAAAATATCATATGGAAATCTTCTCAAAACGACAAATGGGTTCTCTTTAACTAATTTGATTGGTACAGGAAGCTTTGGTTTAGTATACAAAGGAATTCTCCATCCAGATAAAATGACTATCGCGATGAAGGTACTTGACCAACAAAACAGAAGAGCTTCAAAGAGTTTTGTGGCTGAATGCAAAACTCTTAGAAACATCAGGCATCGAAACCTCGTCAAGATTATCAGTGTTTGTACAAGTGTTGATTTCCAAGGTAATGACTTCAAAGCCCTAATATATGAGTTCATGGAAAATGAGAGTCTTGAAAGTTGGTTACATCCAGTTCCACAAGCAGGTGGTGGTGGTGCCCGTGAGCAGCCGAAAAGTTTAAGCCTTTTTCAGTGATTAGGCATAGCGATTGATGTGGTTTATGCTTTGGATTATCTTCACAACCATTGTCACGTCCCAGTCATACATTGTGATATAAAGCCAAGCAACATTCTTCTTAACAATGACATGACTGCCCATGTCGGTGATTTTGGTTTAGCGAGGCTCCTACAACACGGCAACAATGAAATTTTTCAAAGCCAAACCAACTCTATTGGTGTCAAAGGAACTCTTGGATATATAGCACCAGGTAATCTACAATATACCTTATATTTTGAGTGATGTATTCACCTATATGTCTATATATATATAGATAGATATGTATGCATTTGTAAGTATAAATTAATAATTAGTTTGTGCAGGAGAAATTTTTTTTTTTTTTTTTTGCATTTTCTGACCTTTGGTTCAATGGAAGATGAAAGCCTACAAAAATTGCTTTTTGTGGTTAATGGAAAACAAAATTATTTAGAAAAGAAAATGTTTTTACTTTAGAAAGGTGGAAAATATATTTCAGATTGAAGTTTTTTCAAAGCCACCACTCGTCCACCGCCATATGACCATCACCATCACCACCACTACTGCCACTAATTACAATCATTGCCAGCCCACTGCTAGTGCCAACTTTGCCCTACCCCCATCATCATCACAACGACAACCACCTCGCCACTACCCCCACACTTGTACTACCACTACTATAATCTCTAGCACATTAGTTTCATGGTCACAATCAAACATAAGAAAATATTTTTTCTATAAAAAATATTTTTTTCATGAAAACATTCCATATGTTTTTTTTCCCCGATATAGAAATAAATGGTGCAGAAGATTGAATTTAAAATGTATTATATGTGTAATGCAGAATATGGCATGGGGAGTCAAGTGTCCATTGATGGTGATGTATATAGCTATGGGATCCTCTTGTTAGAATTGTTCACGGGAAAAAGACCAACAGATGACATGTTTAAAGATGGCTTGACCCTTCACAAATTAGCCTTGACAACTTCGCCAGAAAGAGTAATGGAGATTGTTGATCGGAAACTTGTATTAGTTGTAGACGGAGAGGAAGCAACCAACATAAATTCTAGGAAGCAAATAGGAAAAGGAAAATTCCATGAGTGCTTAATTCTGATACACAGGATTGAAGTCGCATGCTCTGAGAAATCACCAAGAGAACGAATGGCCATTGTTGAGGCAATTAAGGAACTACATTTAGTTAAGGACATGCTACTTGGGAGAAGGATTTCAAGCAATGTGAAAACTGCTCAAAATGGATAATAAAGGTCCTCTCTCAGTGTTTTCTCTCAATTTCAAAATCTAAACTTCATCCTCGTGTTAGGCATGAACCTTATTTGAATGATCTGAACCGTTATTTTTGTAGAGTCTTCCTTGTATATCATACATGGAAAAAATTAGATTTATTTGATAATCGTAGTATTTTTATTTTATCGCATTTGTCTTTGAAAAAAATAAATGACTAGTATATTTTTGAAAATTACTCATTGATTTTTTTGAAGACAAACGTGATAAAATAAAAATATTATAATTTTCAGATCGACTTAATGTTTTTTCAAAAATGATATACAAGAAGAACTGTACAAGTTGAACAATTCGGATTATTGAAACAAAATTCGTAATGGCCACACAGCCCTAACATGATGGTCAAGTTAGATTTTAAACTTGAAAGTGTCTCCGTCCTTGTTTCACAAAGATAGACAAGAGGTGGGGCCCATCCCCTTGTCTATTTTTTTTTTATTATAATTTTATGCATTCTATTTCTGTGTATTTTGTTTCCCTATCTTATCTGATTAGTTAATAAATTAGTAGATCCAGTGTATCGTTTGCATTTCCTTTCTTTTATTTGAACACCAAAATTAATTCCATTCTTAAACCATAATTAACTTTCTTTTGTCATTGTAATTTTAATTGTATCAATTTTATTCTTGAGTTTTGATATTGTGTTGATTTAATATAATTGATAATGACCCTTAAAAAATTGAGATTTTTTGCCATAACTCCTTCTTGGAGCTCCTTTTCTTGAAAAGGACAAACTCTAATTTTTTTTGCTCATAAATTCCAAAATAAAGAAATCTTGTAAGAAAGACAAAAAATTTTAGCTTTATATTTTTTTTGTGACATATTTACCCCTTCACACGCACTCTCTATCTTTCTCTTCTTTCTCTCCCTGTCTCTGTCTCATCTCTCTCTCTCTCTCTCTCTCTCTCTCTCTCTTTAAGAGTTCTCTCCACTATCACTACCACTACCACCACCATCTCCATTACCAACACTACCATGACCACCATCGTTTCCACCTCTTCCACAGTCTTCACCACCATTGTCTCAACAATCAGCGCCGTTTGTCATAGCCACCACTACTACCGTTTCCACCACCACCGTCTCAACCACCGGTGCCATTCGATGCCCACTATACCACTGGCAACCACTATCATTATCCTTCGCCTCCATGACCTTAGATTTGAGATAGACGACCTAAAATATGAGATCCATCATCTCATATCTATATCTTTCCCTCTCTTTCTCTTTGTCTCCTCACGATGCTTTGTTTTTTCGACAGTAAGATTTTATTCTAGTTTGAACTAGATCTAAGGCAATATATGTGTTCTATCTATCTCTCTATTTCTCTATCTTTTTCTCTTTCTCTCTCTCTATATGTATATATTTTTATTTTAGTACATTTTTTTTTTGTCATTATTAGTTTGAATATTGATTTTGAGATCTCAAACGAAAATATTATTTTAGTATGTTCAATAGCAAAATAATAAAATTTTACTCTAATATAAAGTAAAATTTTACTCTGCGTAAAAGTAAAATTGTACTATTAACGTTATTAATTCAAAGTTTTGACTAATTTCTCGTTTAATATCTATATGAATAATGGTAATAATTATAGTAAGTGTTGTGGTTAGTAATAACAATGGCAAAAATTCACTATTTATATGTTTAAAGTAAATAGTAAAATTTATTGTCACCAAAGAATCTTGCCGGAAAATTTTTGCCGACCTATGGTTGTCGTTAGAAAATTGTCGCCGACTTGGGTGATCAACGGTGGCCGACAATGATCGGTGATGGCATACAATAGTCCATGGTGGTGGTTGTGGTAATGTAAGAAAATGATACAAGTTAAGGGTATTATTGTCATATTTTTTACATATTTTGAATTTTGTCCTGAAAGAATTAAATGTTTTTAATTTATCCTTTTGGCAATAAAGTTTGAAATTGAGGAACTTATTACCAAAAGGGTAATGTTAGGAATACCAAATTTTCTACTAAATGAATGACCAAATGTTTTCGGAGTTGGGGTGCCTGGCACTACTATGCGGCCTTATGGGCTTATATCAAGGTTTGTTTTGATAGTCCGAACCGTTCGCATTTTAGAGTATATTGAGTAGAACATATCTGTAAAAAATTAAATTAATCGGATATCGTTAACCCTTTCATCTACTCACATTTGTATTCATTTTAATACTTTAAATAACAATATCATTTATTTTTGAAGATACAAATGTGAGTGGATGAAAGGGTTAACAATATCCAATTAACTTAATTTTTTACAGGTATGTTCTACTCGATGTACTTTAAAATAGGAACAGTTTGAATTATTAAAACGAACCTCAAAATAAGCCCATAGAGCTGCACAATAGTGCCTGCTGTGCTAGGTGCACAGCAGACACCCCAAATTAGCACAGCAGGCATCCTAAATCCAAATGTTTCTCATAGATGTGGTAGACCCCACACCTATGTAAGATATTTAGTGATTTATTTGCTAGAAAATTTGAAACTTATAGCATTTTTTTTTTACCAAAAATCTTTAAAAAAATTAGGTTAGAATCAAGGAACAAAATATTCATGTTTCCCAAAGTGATTGAGAAATTAGTGTCAAATTTAAAATGATTTATAATTTTTTTTTTCAAAGAATCATTTTACCCTCACTTTTGTATAAAGGAAAATTATACCCATAGTCCCTCAACTTTGCTCTTCCTATTATTTTGGTCTCTATATTTTTAAATGGCTCAATTTTAATGTTAAATTTTATATTTTACATCATTTTGGTCTAGTAAAGAACATCTGTCAAAATTTTTAACAGAAAAATGTACATAGATGGCATATGACCATTTTCAAGGGGGTAAAATAGATATTTCATCCATTCACTTCTCCCAGCTCCTTCCTCCTCCTTTGTAGCAAACAACCAGTTTCTACCACACGCACCCACTACCGACAACTGACCACCGCTCCGACCACCTGTCTATCACCCACCACCACCAAACAATACAACCCACAACCATCAAAAACAAAAACAAAATCACAATCACAATCAAAATTCACCAACAAAAGCAAAATTAAAATCAATGTCAAAACTCAATCAAAAAATAAAAATAAAATCCAATTTCCAAACTCACCAATCAAAATCCAAGATTCATTGCTAAAACATTGCCAAGAAACTGGAATTGATAAGATCTGAAAGAAAAGAAAAGAAAAAACTAGAATTGAAGAAATGCAAACAAGGATCTTTGTTTCTCCTTCTTTTATTCAAAGCAATACCAATGGTTTCTAACTCTTCCCTCCGTTAGGGGTGTACACGGTCCGGATTGGTTCGGTTCTAAGAAAATCCAAGAACCGAACCGATCCTAACAGTTCTGTGATTTTGAGAACCAGACCAGACTGTTACACTTGTAAAACCGGACCAGAACCAAACCAAAAAAACGGTTCGGTTTCGGTTTGGTTTACTGTTCTAAAAATTTCTATTTACAAGAATAAATTGTTAATATTAGTAAAATAATTACTCAAACTAATTACATTTAACTCATGATAAAAACTAATAATATTAAGGCATTACTTAATATTACATATCTATACCATCGTAATATCATGAAAATTATAAAAAAACCAATTACTACAAATAAAACTTGATATTATATATATATATATATCTTTTAAAATTCGGTTCGGTTCGGTTCGAACCGCGATTTTTTCATAAAATCCATTAACCGAACCGTTTTTAC